AATATAGGATGTATTGTGGGGATATTTATTTCATTCGCACCCACATTCACACCCTCATCCAGAGTCACACCCACCCATACCCATACCCCACACCCTCGTGGTATATTTTGGTTTTTAATACAACGTATCAAGTGATTGAAACATTTAATCTCTCTCATCAGCTAGTGAAGTTTTACACAAAAACAGTTGTTACCGAAATTTTATTATTATGAGATTAGTTGAAGAGTGATCAAATAGCACAGAAAAATAGAACATCGTTTTCTCTATCATCACGTAAAAAAAGAAAATTTCTTCAAACTTACTACACAGTATTCAAGTGTCATTGCCACTACTTTTTCAATGCCCTAAGTAGATAGAACAGCATGACATAACTGTATATGATTAAAGGGCAGTTGCTCTTGGAAATTTCCATCGAAAAACGTTCGATTTTCAACAATTCTGCATTTGCTCTCAACTTCTCTCACACATTCTCTCTCTCTTACACATATCGTAACGGTGTAGGTGCCAAGAAAAGAGTTTACGAAGAAGTTTGTTGATGTGAGTGTCGGTGTGGGTGTGATATTCTCCGTCTAAATGACCACACCCACCCACATTTATACCCACATGCACACCCGTAATCATACTCACACACACACACAAACATATCCAGGCCCCCACCCATTCCTATACCCATAGCCAACCAGTGAGGTGAACACATACTACTGAATCGTATAAAATAATCCTGTTGTTAGTTGAAAGCCGACTCTGGCAGCACTTAGTTTTGTAGTGCATGAGACAAGTGAACCATATTGAATCCAATAAAGAGTTTACCTTCCATTTGCTTTGATTCAATGAAAATGTTAAGCAAATATATTTTATCTTAGACATTTCTATTATGTATTTTTTTGCACTGTATGTTGATTGAACAACAAGCAAAAGTTTCAGGTGGGATGCGATGGTTTTTTAGCCGATAAGCAAGAAACAATTAAAACAAATAACGAAGCAAAAGGTGAACCCACTTCACGCTGCAAGTTAATGTAGGCTGTTGTTTTGTTGCTTCTCATTTTTTTGGCGGCACTCTCTCCGAAACAGTGAATATTGACTGTTAGTATTTTTATTAATACGATATTTCTTTTTATATGTTCGAACATTGTCCAACATTTTCTTAGAATATTACACCATAAACCAATATGGAGCACTGTCAATTGTCGTTGCTAATAATCAGAGACAAGTTTTGCAGGTAAATCTATTTGTCCTTATGAGTAAAATATAAGCAAATCTAGGTAAATCGATAAGATTTCTATTGAGATAGTACAACTTTTAATACAACTGATAATAACTTACGAAGGCTCTCATAGAATGCTGACAATCAGTATAAAAATGTAGGTGTGATTGTGAATATCCGTCATCTATTAAGCCACACTCACACTCACACCCATACCTGCCACATATCAATACCTACACCCCCCATACCCACACCAACACCGATATCCACACCCACACCCACACACACAAGATAGTTATCAGCGGAAAAAAGGGTTTAACTAATGACGATAAATGTTTAACGATGGTTTATTATTATTGACTACCTTGTTTTACCACACCGTTGCATCGCTTTTCTATTGAGTATTTAGCTACAATTGAACATCGATTTAAATGTAATATTGCTTTCGATATGACGATAAGGGTCCTCAGATATTATAATCAATTATATACTAATTCGGCTGAAATATGTTTTTGTCTAATGTATGACTGAAAGATCATTTCCTCATGATGCAAACATTTTTCGGATATCAATAGTGAATAAAAACAATCTAATTCAGAAGGAACTACAAAAACAGAAAAATAAGGGAAACATTCACAGAAATTCTTCTGATTGCGTACTTTTAACTACTATTTTCACTATCTTGTTAACGTGGCTATGAAATCAAATTCTCAGGTCGATCGAAGTAAACACTTTTTCGATGCAGCTGAAGAAACACTGGCACCAATTATTCCTATAAGTGGCTACATGAATGGACCACTTCTTCCATTACAAGAAGCTGTACGAAAATGCTTTCGTGGTTCTGGTCGTTACGATCAAGCTGTTCAAGAAGTATTAAAACTACCAGAAAACTTAATCGGGAATCTCACAAGAAACGAAGCAGCCGCCATTCGTCTGTATACACTGGAGACCGATCCCCGCTTTTATACAAAGCTAAACACAATGCTTCGCCTTGAAGATAGGAATCAAATTAAACCTTATTTTTCATATTTAAAACTGATGATGAAGGGTCTATCTAAATTACCACCAATTCGTAGTACGATTTGGAGAGTCGTTTCAGAAGATCTGCATGAAAAATACACAATAGGTAAAAAGATTACTTGGTGGGCATTTAGTTCATGTACGTCTTCAGTTGGTATTTATCAGAACCAACAGATCTTTCGCTCACAGGATAAACGAACTCTATTCTCAATAGAATGTTTAAATGGAAAAGACATCAGCCAGTATTCTGCTTTTCCAAAGGAAAAAGAAGTGTTGCTGTTGCCAGGTACAGAATTGAAGATAGTCGACCAGCTTCAGATTCAAAAAGATGTGTACATCATTCACTTACGCGAATTAGAATCACATTCGAGCATGTCACAAGGTAAGAATAATAAATCTCCTGCAAATTGTCTGAATATGTTTCCGTGAAAGGAATTAGATAACTCAACTCTTTCGAAACTTCTGTTATCACTAGATGGTATAACAAATAGCTGAATATCATACAAGGAGCTCATAGAAAAAAATCCTTCCAAAGATTATTATTTTCTTCGTTATGTAAGAGCGAAACGGAGAGTTGACGTATAAAGGTAATGATTTCGGCCTTTAACCAAATAACCTATACTCTTTGCCTCACAAATAGTGCAAAATTTCAACTAAAACCATGGCAGAGAATAGAACAGTAGTATGTCATCATAAAATGTTAAAACTAGCATGCTTCAATGGTTGCGTTATTGCACGTACATCCAAAAGACATATTCTTCATACCTTATCATTACCATTCATAGTAACCTTGAGCAAGTTAAGAACGGTTAAGTTGTATAGGACGAAACATTCGATAGTCTGGTGTGTATATCGTCAGTCTAAATGCGAATTAAAAACAGCTTCAATATAGATCTTATAAGAATGTGATTTTTATACCAACTGTCACAACCCAAAAGTAATTAATGAGAAAAATCTAATAGAAAAGGATTTACATAGTGTCACCCATAAATAGTCAAAACTGAAAGAGCGTCAACATATGAGAAGCTTATGACAGTATCTGATTCGAACAGGCGGTTCGCCTATTCGACTAACTACTCTTATTATTGCATGCGAGTCGTTTTTTTTTCTTGCATTCCTGGAGGCTTAGGAAAACCTGGAGTGCAGAAACGTTGTTGAAAATAATTATAATAAAACGATCTTCCGTTGGCTGTTTGCAATGGTTATATCACATTTTGGAATTCAATCTCGATTGGGTTGGACTGAAGGTGTTCTACATATCATTCAGTATTGATCGTCGATGCAGTCAATAATATTAACATTTTATTCCTTTTGATCAAGTTTAGGGAAAAATCTTCGATTTCATTACGCAGAATACAAGAAAAATATTAAGTATAGACTGTCACACAAGAGAAAAGTAACAGATTTTGAATGACCTGTGAATCACCGTAATTCAAACGGATTCAGTTTCATTCAAATGATATTCTAAGCAGTAGAGTCTATCACAATCACCCGTTACCAATCAAAATGCTTCCGTCTTATCAATTCATATAATTTAAAGAATACATCCTGAACCCTCTGAATGCTTGAAATTCCCATACAATTTTTATTAATCTCTAAGCATAGATTATTAGAACCATTATATGTGGAGACTATTCAGCATAAACAGCACATACTGTCTTTCGCATAAATTTCTGTGAAATCGATTAATCCTAATGTGTGAAGTCAAGGAAAACACGGTAACGCTTCACTAGAAAATTAAAAAGTATTAGCATTCGCAAGTTTTTCGTACATGGTCTTTCTCATTTCGATAATCACTTCAAATGTTCAAAAATATAATTCAGTTATTTAATCGTTAAGTTCACCAAAATTAAAGTATATGAGGATTTTCTTTTGTTTCTCTGTAACGTGTCGACCTAGGTCACGATGGCTATATGTTTTTGAATATCAAGATATGCATTTGTATGGATATCTATTATGAGAATGATTCTCATAGAGAAATCGTTTTTTTTATTGCAAATAAATTTTCGATCGGAAATATGGAAAGATTTTAAAAAGTCAGAAAAGAAACTGAGAATTAGCAAAAAACCATCTGATTTCAGCTATCTTCCAATTGACATGAGTTAAATATATACATACATTAGCTCCTACATCATAACACTGGTATCATTATGTAAATTACTATTTATTCGTAATAAAATTCACTGACCTATCGCACGCTATCTTGTCATTTTCTAGCATTTTTTGTTTTATTTCTAGATATTTTCAACATTCCTAAGAATGCCAGCTGGGCACCAAAACCTATTATCGTAGCTGGAGGTGAAGAAGAAGGTAACTCAGAAAAACATCTCCATGGTCCTGCCGGCTTATGCATCGACTGCGATGGAAACATTTTAGTCGCTGACTTTTATAACCATCGTATTGTAGAATGGAAACCTCATAGTACAAGTGGCACAGTTGTAGCTGGAGGTAATGGCCAAGGAAATGGCCCGAAGCAGCTGCGGAACACTTCAGATGTCATTTTCGACGCAGAAACAGATAGTCTGATAATTTGTGACTTGGGCAACAGACGAGTCGTTCAATGGCGTCGTCAGAATAATAGTGATGAAAAAACATTAATTGAAAATATCAGTAGTTCTGGATTGGTCATGGACTATCAGCGATGTCTCTATGTCACTGATCTCGACAAACACGCCGTGAGACGTTTTGAATTGAAAAACAAAGATAACCAGCTAGTAGTAGCAAATAATGAGGGCACAATAGTGGCAGGTGGTAATGGAATGGGAAATCAACTAAATCAATTCAACAAGCCGACATGCGTATGGGTCGATCGAGATCTGAATGTTTATATATCTGATAGAAATAATCATCGTGTGATGAAATGGAAGAAGCATGCAGAAGTAGGCGAAGTCGTGGCAGGAGACCAAACATGTGGAACACATCTTTCACAATTAAATGGTCCTAGAGGAGTATTAGTCGATTCTTTTGGTACATTGTATGTAGCAGATTATAACAATAATAGAGTAATGCGTTGGTGTAATGAAAATTCATCTGTATCAGTGATTGCGGGCGGCTGTGACTCCAGTACACGAATCAATCATGTGAATGTGCCATTGGCTTTATCATTCGATAAACATGGAAATTTCTACGTATCGGATTCAAAGAAGTATCAAATACTACGATTCTCAATCAAAGGTACTGTCTGGTCTCTCATTGATTAACGAAAAATAAAATGAGTTTCACAGAAAATTACTATGAAGGAATAATTAAGTTTAACAGCTTTATAATTGACGAATGTGCTTCAATAGTTTTATATAACAAGATTGAATTAACGGTTAGAGGTCGAACATCATTTTGAAAAACCGAAGTCGACATGTTTTTCGAAAAATTTTAGAAAACAAGCATTTCTTTCACTAAATTAGGAACGTGAAAAAGTTTTTCTGACAAATAACTGACTAAATTCTATTAAGATGAAAGAAAATGCATTTTTTGAGTAATCAAATTGCTAATGTTACTGGTATGATTTACAATAATAAACAAAGTACGATAATGGCAATAGCTGATCGTTACGCCATCATCATCCATACCGTTCATTAAGGGCTCCCCTTCAGAAATTAACTTTGTTATTTTTCATCCGATTTCAACCAACATTTCAGAGAATGTTAGTCTTGACTAGAATGGCTTATAGTTAAAATATCTTCCACAAATCTCAAAGAAATGCACAAGTTCTAATCAACTCATTATCCCTTACGCGAGCAAGGATTTCACAATAAGGATACGAGCTAACAAGTCCACGCGGTTTCCAAGTTGTAGAGCACCCTCAGGACTAGGAGTTAGCAGGATCCGATTTTTGAATTTTCTTTTATTTGATTTTTAAAGAGCGTTTTTCGAAAAATATTCAAATTCGAGGTGCTAATAGAAATGAACTATCTAAGTTTTTTATTTTAGCAAAAGAAAAATTTAGAAATTGGAGCCTGTTAAGTCGTAGCCCTACATGTCTCCTATATAATAAAAAAATTATCACTTCCATGTCGAATCGTTATGCAGAAAAACCTGCCCGCGTAAACTCTATGACAAAAAAACTGATTTTGAGAAAAACGAAAAATAAGTTTTCAAAAAACCTTACTTTTTCAATATGGGGGTTCAGAAAAACCTATGTAATATTCTTGAATTTCATGATAAAATCAATCAACTATAGTGAATTCGAGAGTGGACACTTTTCTCTATCTAATGAGTTGTAAATCATAAAATCGATAGATTTGACCAAAATTGACTTTTCTGAGGGGGGGGGGGGGAGTTTAAGCGGGGGACTTAAGGATTTGAATCAGCG